ATGGCGGTTTTGTTGAGCCCGGTGCACGAGCGGCGAAGCCGCGAGAAAAATAAAAAAAAGTTGCTCCCGCCCCAATCTCCTGGCGGTTTCTCTGCCCTCTCCCGCCTTCATTACTTTCCGAACCAAAACCGCCATGCTACGCAGGCTACAGGAAGCCTGGAAAAAAGTGCTCATAACTTTAAATGAAAACTTATCAGTCTTTTGGAAAAGATTACCCCACACGCTGCATACTGAGGGAAAATTTTGATTCCCATTATAAACACATTCTGATATACTAGTTGCAAATTGCACCTTAATGTACGCCTACACGAGGCGTCTTGCGAGAGCCCTGAGCTCCTGGCTTGCGATCATTGAATTTGCGTGTTTTAAGAAATGTACTCATTCCTAATATTATCGCTATTATCATCATCACTGCTATTGCTATTAATATTGTTGAAGGTAGTGGAAAGATGTTACATGCTGTTAGAGGTAGTGGAAAGATGTTACATGTTGCTGTAGGTGGTGGAGGCACGTTATATGTTGCTGTAGGTGGTGGAGGCACGTTATATGTTGCTGTAGGTGGTGGCGGCACGTTATATGTTGCTGTAGGTGGTGGCGGCACGTTATATGTTGCTGTAGGTGGTGGAGGCACGTTATATGTTGCTGTAGGTGGTGGAGGCACGTTATATGTTGCTGTAGGTGGTGGAGGCACGTTATGTGTTGCTTGAGACGGTGGAGGAATTATTATTGCTTGAGTTGTCGGTATGAGGAGCTGAAAAAAAAGATGCACTGAATTAATGTAACATCAAACGATGAGGTTTATATTAAATTTTCATTGTTTAAAATAAACCTCTCTGATAATTAAAGAAATTAGTAGATAAAGAGTCGAAGGATCTTTTGGTGGGGAATTTCACGACGTCAATCATAAGCACGGTAGAAAATTCACAAATTGTAAAGAGAGGAACTTCTTCTTAGTTTCTTGTCAGTTAAATGTTATAAACTAGATTCAATCTTACAACATTTTCCTCCAATAAGTACTAACTTACCGTACATGAACTTATCATTTTATGAAATAAATTGAGGGGAAAAATACTATCGTCAAATCATTGGGACAATCAGGCATACAAGTGTATAGGGTCTATTCCTTTAGTGGTCGTGGCAGAAATGTAAAGGAAACTGAGCAAAGGCCAGCCCATGTAGGACAAAGTGCCGTTGTTTATATTATTATGCCGAGAGAAGTGGCAGGATGATATCAGTGTGGTTAATACCTGGGATGCCTGAAGAGAGGTAGGGAAAGGCGTGTTTCCTACTGCATCCTGCAAAGGGTTTGAGGTTCCTGGCTCCTGATTGAACACTGTAAAGAAATAAACATGGTGAATAGAAAGAAACTCGTTTAAAGAGATTAGAGACTCCCTTTAAATAAGAATATAAACACATTTCACTTAGAGACGAGACAGATGCACCTTTATACAATGTGCTGACTGATACGCGTGCTGTGTTGGCTGAGATAGGTCATTACCAATGCATGCAGAGGAAAAGTACCTCTAGTCCTAAAATGAAGAGTTAATCCCCGAAACAGTTGTTATCACTGCGAGACACAGTTTTGGAAAACGTATACTCTCTATATTATTATTATTATTATTATTATTATTATTATTATTATTATTATTATTATTATTATTATTATTATCTTCTGTTGTGAGAGGAGGTAACTTCGCATCACCTTTCATTTAGAAGTCTTTGGGCAAATTTTTTTTCTCAGAGTGTTTCTTAAATCGTTGCATTTATCACTACAGTATGCTTCCTTTTGTTGGTGGAATGTTGTTGAATACCGAGCCAGTCAAAATTTTTGAAATTTTTGTGAAATATTATTGTCACAGCAAGGAAAAGCCAGTGAGACGTGAGAAACTAAGCTTGCAAGCAACAACGATAATCAGTTTTTGGCTCTGAGGTTTGCTAGCGTTCCGTGACCTTTATTGTGATTGATAGTCGGTACACAATCGACTTGTCAGAATCAAATCAAAGTATTCACGGTTTTTTGATTCGCACTGTAAATCTTTTGTTTTTGACTTTTGTAACATCAGAAGTTACTGCTAAAAACTTGCGGACACCTCGCTAGTAAGGACACTCCGACAATACGGACAGCAGCTAGTTCCCAGGCAAAATAAAATCAAATAAAACTCTCATCTATTGCGGAGTTACGGAAACTTTTCGTTCTTTCCCTACAGCACAATTCTCAGACACCAAGCGTCAACTTTCAACATTCAGCTGAAAAATATGTTATCCCCCTTTTATCTTCTGTATCGCATCAACCTCAATCTTTGTAAATGTAAGTAAACATTACCCTTCTTAGTTCTAATGTAAGTGTTACCAATGAAATTCCTTATTGGACCTCGCTTCGACAGACTCTTGCTATCAAGACCATTAAGTTGCGATCTCCAGCCGGGGTGTCCACAATAACAGGAGTTGAATGTAATTCGGTTTCCAATCTACAAGAATCCTTCGCCTTCTAAAGCAAACT